TAACTGTTATGGCGATTACAATTGGCACAGGTGCACTATTCAACCTTATGGATATACTGCAGTGTACACTACATATACTGTAGTGTACACAAATAATATACTCTAGTGTCTGGTGAAGGCATGCAGTGTACACTACAGCATATTATGTGTGCACACTAACCAAAGTAAAGTTTATTTTGTTTAGTAAGCTTATTCAAGTAGTACTAATCACATACCTGCATTTCCCATAAATATGCTAAATTCCTCTTGATATGCAAATTATTTTGTCAAGGCGCCCTTTTCCCCCCTTCCAACCCAGCTTATATATGCTCCAAGCACGCGTGCTGTTTCATTCAGACGCTGTCGCCTCGACAGACCTGGTTTTCACCTGAGGACGGCTGCTTGTGTTGTGGCCGAAACGTCGTGAGAATTGTTTTATTATGTTTTATTTTTATTATTTTATTACTTCCCTTCTACGTGACTTTACCGAAAGAACCAAGAAGAAGCTTATTCAGCTCTGTGAAAAAAAAATCAAATACTGAATACGGAGAGATTGATTTAAATACTCGGTACAAGTTCGCAAAGAGCACCAATCTCAACAACGCCTCGTGTACATTTCGCACGTGGCGTGAAAGTCACTCGCGGCACAAAGCGCGTTCTCGCTGTCGCCGACGAATGCGTCCGTCTCACGTGACCACGACGTGACGAGTTGCCGCCCCCCCCCCCTGTGCAACCCAAGCGATCTCTCGCTCACCGGCGCGCGTTTGCTCTGCAACGTGTCGCTTGGCGCCGGCTGTGCACCGTGCGCCGTGATGTCCGCTCACCTGACGGGGGGCGAACTTAACTGCTGGATTTTTGGGAGGAGGGGGGGGGGGCACACACATCCCGCGCAACGGGAATGGCGATGCGGGTTCGTCGCTGCCGGAGGGCGCGAGTGGCTGAGTGCTGTCGTGGTTCTCGCTGAGGCTTCACGAACAGGCTTTTACTTAGCAGTGGGATCGTGTTAGGCTGAAGCTTAAACTCAAGGCCGGAGAGCCAGGAAGTGTATTTCTTCTGAGTTAGACTGTTTTTGTAAATATATTCTTTATTGTGTGTGTGTTTTCCCCGATTACATTATATTCCAATTGTGCCTATCGCCGTCTTGCCACGAGATGAATAATCTATTCAAGAACTCTCACAGACGGCGGTGCGTCGTCACACACGGCAGAGAACGGTCTCAGGAAAGTGATCTGAAAGAATTACTTCTGAGATTTCTGAATTTACCTCTCATTAACAACGAGGGGCATTCCAATGACCAATGTGCCCTGCTATCGAGATGTGAATCGCATGGCGATTAAACCTAGATATACATTTTAGTCCAGAGAGCAGGAAAATATGATTACGCGAAGGGAAAACCACATTTAACATCCCGTATTTAGTGCGCAAATCACGAGTGAAGAGACTGATACAATCAACTCGCTACGTTTGAGAAGCACTGCAATTCATTCTTGAATCCCATTTGTGTGGTGCTTTGATGGGTTATCTCCGCAGGTGTGTTTTTTTTCTTTCACGCTCCTCTAGAATTGGTCAAACATTGCAATATTGTCTCATGACTCGGTGAGGCTTTCCCCTGGCAATCACAGATGAACGTTGTCATAAACTCCAGCTGGGTTAGCTCCCGGGGGTCAACCGCCTGCATGCCATTACAAGGCGTCGGCCCCAATGACAAAAAAAGTAAATTGCGCGTGGTTTTTTTTGTGCGGAATTTTTTTTTTGCACTACAGGATTAACCCGCATTTTGTTTCCGCATCCGACAAAAACTTCACATCTAGATTTCAAGACGCATCGCTTAGGCTGCACAACCAGACGATGTTGACGTGGCGGCATATTAACCCGTGCTGTAAATTCTCTCCATTGCCGTGCTTGTTTCCGTGGCCCTTCCCAAACCAATTTCTGCGCTTGTTCAACGCGGGAATCTGGTGCATCTCTGCAGGTGTTGCGTTCACGTACGATCGAACACTGATGTGTGCACCAGAGCCTGCACGGGTTGTGGTTATAGAGGCAGGTGTGGCTGATTGCGATGCAGATTAGAGAGTTTGTTTTGAACATCCGTGACTCGGCTGAAGTGTAAAAATATAAAGTTGTACACTCATGAATTTGATCAATTATTGTATACCTATATATTTATTTCTAGTAGGGAAACAGTGGTCTCCTTAAGGAAGACTGTTCCCTGCCATTTAAATGTGGAAATTCCACAACTGACTCACTGCTGGCAATGGACATCAATACCTGTCCATTGCTTGTTTCGAATCAGTGAGACAGGATGCCTTTGGGGTTTTGGTGGAGCGGTGGTGCAGTGGTTAGCCCACTGCACTAAGAACCTGGAAACATGTAATCAATTTATCAGCAATGATTACATCCGTGGTGAGTAGGATATGTTCGTGGGTCGTCCCTTTAACCCGCACTTACGAGCGTGGACGAAGTGTGGCCAAACAGACTCCACAGCCATCATGACATGGGAAGGCCTCAAACAGCCTTCACGGGGTTCCAGTTTGGAATACCTGAGACCAATTATTGACTTCCTAGAGAAAGGCCCGTGCATAACAAGGCCGTGGAGATCGTAATAAGGATATCGTTGGGTCGGCCGTTGCCTTCGCAAAAAATTCCGGGCAATGACGTCAATTCGCAGCGCACTCGTCCACATTTGCACCACGACTCAAAACCCCATCATGAAGGCCACGCCAAAAGGTGTGTGCGCGAGCGCAGTTTTTTTTGTTTTCTTGCCAACTCACAATTCACGGTGCTTATATGAATTATATTGTAGCATTAAATATCTCTCCTATCAAGAGTGGATGCCTGGATTGTGTCTATCCCACCTCATTAAAAAGGCAATCGTAGCAAAAGGAAATCAACAAGAGCGATTGCTTTGTACTGCACTTTAAATATTTGAAGCATAAATACAATTGTGTGTGTGTGTGTGCAGATCTGAATGCGGGCAGAAATGTGCATGTAGCCACTTGGTCATTATGAGCACTTAAAAAGTATCAGAACCAGTGTGTTGTTAGGTGCAGATAATGCTTCTGTGCATCACAGAAAAATGTAAGGAGACGCGGGGAGAGTTAATGGATTTTAAAGTGCTGTTTATTTTGGCCTTGAGCATGCCTGCCGCCAGGGGAAACTCGCTTCTAGATCTCCGCAAAAGTTGCACTCAGTCCACAAATCTATCTTTGCCCCTGCGACTTACTCCTGTTCAAGTCCAGGCTCAAGACATTGCTATTTTCCCTCTGCCTATGACTACCCCTAGCTCTCCATGATAAATAAGCTCGCTGTTTCTGTAGAGCACGTTGAGATGCAGTCGCGCTTAAGAGACGATGTAAAGCCACACTGTATCTTAACGAATAAATATGATTTCAGGGCCACTTTTAAAAACAAATAGCTGATAAACCTAAGCTTTGCAGTCAAATAACAGCAATTCAAAGTTAGAGAATCTACATTTGCAAGCACGGTTGAAGAGTCTATTAATCATAATACTTTCATTCGATAGAGCATTATTCATGCTAATATCATCCCATAACGCTGTAGATGAATTATATATAAGGACCAAATCCCAGGTACAACCACTACCACGCAAATTAAAACCTGAATATCAAGCCAAATAAAAAATGACGAGACAATTTAAGAAATGGCACCAAAATAGAAAAGTAGCATTAAAACGCAATGTCTCTTTTGTTTCAGCGCAGAGAGGTGGGCCAATGTCCAAAATGTTATCTTTGATGAATACATTATTGCTTGTTACACTGTCATTCAGTGTTTGATAACGGTGGCAGTGGTCGTGTTCTGTTTACGCCCGTTTCATTCACACTGGACGGCGATGCGGACGAGCGCCCAAGCTCGCTCACTGAAGGTTCTCAACGAAATCCCCAGATGAGGATGGAATCAATAAAAATGGGAAATGTTTCATGGAACGTCAACAAAACGAACCCAGCCAGAGGAATGTGGAATTTCCACTCCTGTCTAAGGGCTGACAACGTGGGCTGAGCACTGCTTCATGCTCGGTTGTTTTTTTCTTTCACGGAGACGCTTTGACGTATGACTAATTTGTGCATCACTGCCTCGCTCAGGGTTGTTTGAAGTTCAGCAGAGCGAGTTTGTGCGGCGCTAGTTTGGCGCAGCCTCTCGGTCCCAGCACTTAGGAAGCGAAGGTTGACAGATCGCACAGATTTGTGAAGCTTCCAAATCTGCTGGGCTGGAGGGCGGTCATCACATGGCCGTGAAAAAAAAACCGATTGAATCCGTCTGCATGGTACCTTGTGGAGTGTTATCCCCTTGTATGCGTCGAGTTTCTCCAGGTCTTGTACTCTGGATTTCCTCCAGCGTGCAGAACTCTCAATAATGGAATTGTTGAAACCTCCCGATACAGATTGGTCATTAAAACGTCTTCATACTCAGTGCTATTATTATTAATTTAGAAAAGGTATTATTGTTATGAGTGGGTATGTTGCCAGTTGTATAATCGTTAGCTCAATAGACTTGCATTCAGAGGGCACTGGTTTGATCTCCCAAGTGGCAGTCGACATAATGGGTAAGTTTCTTAAATCTGTCCCAACCCCTGTCCACCCAGCGGTGTGAATAAGGTCACCACATTTAGCAAATCGGTAGGTCGCGTGCGGTGGGGGTACAGTGTGGGCACTCCCACCTGTTCCGCGACGTTTGACCAGCGTGGAAGAGTAGGCCAAAAAAACTGTGGCCGAAACGTCGTGAGAATTATTTTATTACGTTTTATTTTTATTATTTCATTATTTCCCTTCTACGTGACTTTACCGAAAGAACCAAGAAGAAAAAAAAAGGAATCTCGATAACGCCCGCTACGGGAGGCCCCATCTGACGGCAGTCGTACGAGCAGGCAATTGCAGAGCTGCAACTTTACCATCTCATTATCGCTGCGGTACTATTATCTCATGCTGAACCTGTGCTGTGTACAGAGAAAAAACATAAAAGCCGATTAAGAGGGAAGAGTTGGAGGGGACGGCGAGCAGACTCACCGTAGTGCGGGATGATGGCCCAGGCCATCGCGGATGCGTAGATGCCGCCGATCATGCCGAACATGCACAGCCAGCTCAGGTGCTCTCCGCGCTTCTCCCGTGACAGGAACTCGCCAAAGTACGAGAAGACGATCGGCGCCGCGCCGCCAATGCTGCGAGAATAACAACGGTCGACGGAAATCGACGCACAACCGAGGCAAAGACACACAAATGAGTTGCACAGCAACTGTTGGGCAGACGCCATTGTAGAAGATGGTGCACTCAAGGATTCTGTTCCAATTTTATTTTTTTTATTCAAGAACTACTGCGCTCTTAATTTTCTAGTTATGTAAGCAACGATGAAATACAGCCAGCCCTTTGCCAATCCACTGCTGGGTGACGGCCTGTCCATGCCGTGTCTGTTTATGAGTATTGCTTGGCCTTACTTCAGCACGCTGGCGAGGGTGAGTTGGTAAATTGGGGTGGGAGCCAAGAACTGGTTCAGATACCACTCGCCACTGACGTTAGCCGTGGCTGGTAATCGAACTCGGGTCGTCAGGTTCTCGTAGCAGTGCGTGAACAGCTGCGCCACCACTCCACCCCCTGTCCTTTATTTACTGGGCAAAGTAACAATTCATGCCCCCCCCCCCCCCCCCCGCCACAATTCAATGAATTGCCACAATTTAGGGTTACGAATCGTGGTTAGTGCAGTGCATCTGTTGGCTGCGGGGTTTGTGTGAACTAGTTACGTACGTTCAATGCGATTTGATGCGTGCGTCGTGAGCGTAAGACATTATTTTAACCGACGAATCATGACTTTGTTACGTTCCCGTTGTTCACGTCGTCTTGTGGGAAGGCTGGGCCCCTTGTCATAGGAATGCGGAATTTGTACTTCAGGTTCCGGATTTGCCAATGGAGACGAGTAACTCCAAAACCATTCCTTTAAAATACGCAGGCTCTCCGACTATTATAAAGTATTCATGTAAAAAGCATCAACTGACTCTGAAGGCTCGTGCAGGAGGTTGCCGCTTGGGACATTTGGCCATTTCCTTAATGGGCACAATTTGTGCGTGAGAGGAAGCCCACGGTACCTCAAGCAAACCCACGGGTATGAGACAACAACATTCACAAACTGCACATGCACATCCGCATCCTATTTGCTCACGCATGGGGTACACGATCATCCACGCACACCGTTAATGCGTGACGCAACTGAGATGTTAACTACCTTACCTGGCATACAGGAAGTCGTGGGTTCGATCCCGGCCCTGATGCCTGCTGCTGTGTATTTGGAATTTGCGTGTCTCCCTCACCGTGGTCACGTGGATTTTTCTCCGGGTCCCCCACTTTTTGGCTGCTATAAATGTCCACGTGAAAAGCCACGTCGTTGAGCTATCATTTGTGGCCAGGTCGCTTCTGAAAAAGAGCTACATAGCTCAGAGGGCATTACCTGGTAAGATAAATAACAAACCTCAACTGAGCAATTGCAAGCAACCGAGGCCGCAGTTGCAAGCGACCGAGGCCACCATTGGCAACGAGACTATCCGTGTCTCTTGAGTTCTCCTCGGTTAAACGAAATCACGAACGAGTTGCCAGAGAATGGGGTCCGGGAAATTCATTTTAAACGGTCGGATTAAAAAATACTTGATCAAATCGAAGTATGAGGAATGTGTGTGTTTTCTAGAGAGGCGCGTAGCAAATGCTCTTCTTCTGTACAGATTTGGCAAGCACGGTGAGCAAATTTGGCGGGCAAGAAGGGATGCCAATCATATTGGGTTGTATATTGTGAGACAACCCATGATATGTGTAGAATAGAATTACACAGCATTACAAAGTTTTAAGGACACGCAGTCAATCATAGTTCTGGCAAACGTTAGACTGCCAAGAAAAGGAGCTACTGGGCTTTAAGAAATGCGCCGGAAATGTGATTGATCAAATACTTGGCACGTACGATCTTACGTGGGGAAAAAAAACAACCCAATGACTTTTGTTTCATGAAACTGATCATTAAGTAGTCATCCACTCCGCTGTTCTCTGTGGCTGCCGCTTGATGTGGTTCCACGTGGCGTGAGATTTTGTATTGAACCCTCACACACAATTAGTGGGTACACATGGCTCCGATTTTCTGAAATACGTAATCCAGCGCAGGTGCGGCACAAAACATCGCCTATGAATGTCGCCGCTCTGTTTGATTCCCATGGTTTATTTGCACACAGCTGGTTTACACGGTAACTTTTTTTTTTCATGGAGCACACTCCTGATACGTTTTTTTTTATCATTCATGAGTTTCTCCAAAAAACGCGTAGAGCTTCCGTGCCGCAGTAGAAACTTCGTTAAGGACATATCGTGGTGGGTATATATGAATTCCAGTTGTGTCACTTCCACAATTGCTTACATTTTTCCCAACTTTTGCTTTGCTCATATTTATCTTCAGCCCAGCATTACAACCTGCTTTGTCAAAGTTATTCAATAGTTTATATTAATTTATTGGAAAAGTATTTTTTTATGATGACCATGTCATCAACAAATCTGAGACGTGAGTACTTTTCTCATTCATGCGTACGCCTTCATTTAGCCAATCAAAAGTATGTGTGCTCACGAAACGTCGCTGAGTCTCAATATTCTCATCACGAGGCTCCTTCTTGGAATGTTTCTTCATATTTTTGTTGCGGATATGAGGAAACGTGAGTGCTTGACGCAAATGCGTGCAATCAAGGTGAGAAAACTCCCAATCTGTTAATTTAATTCAACCACCTATTTGCTTTACTGCCTCCTGCAGGTATCTCAGAGAGGTGAACGGCTGAGTTGATCGTGGCTGGGACTCAAAAGGTGCAACACCAGGATCGTGAAAATGTACCGATGAAGCGACAGGTCAGCGATTTACCCACAATGACGCGTACGTGTAAATTGCGATTTAAAGCTTTCGTGACTGCAAGGATTCATCTTCTTGGTTCTTTCGGTAAAGTCACGTAGAAGGGAAATAACCTAACCCAGCTTAAATATACGCTGCTAAGCTTGGTGGTGCTCATTCAGACGCTGTCTTTCCGACAGACCTGTTCTTCACCTGAGGACGGCTGCTTGCGTTGTGGCCGAAACGTCGTGAGAATTGTATTTTATTATGTTTTATTTTTATTATTTTATTATTTTCCTTCTACGTGACTTTACCGAAAGAACCCAGAAGACGTACGTGTAAGTTCACATGCATTTTAGAGTGTTTCGATTCGATGCGAGCCCGGGTCACAAATTGATTCAACAAACAAAAGATATATATTTTAAACGTTGATTCTTACACGCGCCATTCGAAGCAACTGACCTAAACTCAACAATCAATGTCAACGGGTGAAAACGAAGGGTCGTCCCACCACTAACAACGTGCCGGCAGCGACAATAAAAGTCGATCGCACGAGCTGATGGCTGAGTGACTAAGTGGGCCCCTTTTGGACGGGTGGACATTGTTAAAATGCAACCATAACCCCCCTCTTCTCTACCCCCCTCAATTCCTCCCTCCCCTTCCTCCCCCTCCCCCGTTCTTCCCCCCCCCCCCCCCCCCCCCAGTATGTCAGCTATCTTTCCCTTTTCCCCTCCCCATATCAATCTTCACTTCCCCCGCTCATTGTCTCCACCTGGATGGGGTAGCGAGCACAATTCCCCGTCCACCACCCCCCGCCCCCCTCCGTTGGGCACCTTTCGTGCCCAAAATCTGGCCGCTGAGTTTCTGCCCCCGCCCCTCCACTCTGTGATCGGCGTTTTGTACCGAGCTCGCGTTGAGTTGTAATAAAAAAAAAAATGTAAAACAAAAATATTTTTTTTTAAAACCAAAAATTCCAATCATAAACCATGATCCACAAGAGGCTCTCACCCGATCCCGCAGAGGAATCGGCAGAAGAGGAAGGCCCCATAGCCCTGCACGAAGGAGGAGAGGCAGGAGAAGAAGCCGTTGAACGAGAGGGACACGAGGAGGATCTGCCTCCGGCCCATGTGGTCGGCCAGGCCGCCCCAGAGCAGCGCCCCGATCATCATCCCCACGTACACGAAACCGCCTGTCGCGCACGCACGCACACGCACACACGCACACGCACGCACGCGCACACACACACGCACGCACGCGCACACACACGCACGCACACGCACGCACACACACACGCACGCACGCGCACACACACGCACACACGCGCACACACACGCACGCACGCACACACGCACACACACGCACGTACACGCACGCACACACGCATGCACGCACACACGCACGCACGCGCACACGCACGCACACACACGCACGTACACGCACGCACGCACACACACGCACGCACACACGCGCACGTACACACACGCACGTACACGCACACACGCACGCGCGCACGCGCACACGCACGCACGCACACACGCACGCACGCACACAAACGCACGTACACGCACGCACACACACGCACGCACACACGCACACACGTACGCGCACACACGTGCACCAAGACAAAGAGAATCCACTCAGCTTTTATAGGGAGTACAGGACAAATATACTCCATTTCTCTTTAGGGCGCCCTGGTGGAGAGATGTTAACAACATCGCCTGGTATACATGAGGTTGTGGGTTTGATCGCGACCCTGACAGCTGTATATTTGCAGTTTGCGTGTCTCTCTCCCCGTGGTCACGTTGGTTTTTCTCCGGGGACCTCCGGTTTTCCCTTCCACATTTAAAAAGCTGCGTTTAAACAATGGCCAAGAGCTATAGAGCTCAGTGGGCCTTACCTGGTAAGATGAATATAGCTTCGTGTTAATAGTTTATAGGCAATGGTACCCAGTAGTTGACCAAGTACGATGCCAAGCGACGATGCTCCAAGTACTGCACACAGGGATAGAGATCCCCATGCAGGTTCTTAGGTTTTTTCGGTAAAGTCACGTAGGTAAAAACATTAAAATTAATAAAAGTAAAATAAAATAAAAATCACGACGTTTCAACTTGATACAGCTGTCGTGGCTGTGACGGTTCCACCTGAAGACGGAAGCTTGTGTTGCCTCCGAAACGTCGTGATTTTTATTTAATTTTAGTTTTATTAATTTTAATGTTTTTACCTACGTGACTTTACCGAAAACCCTAAGAATATGAATCCTTGCAGTCACGAAAGCTTCAAATCTAGAATCCCCATGCAGGCTTTGGCGACATGCTGGGGCAACTACTGTTAGTGATCACCTCTCAAGGCCAACGTGGGACACACAGACGAACGTGCGGCGGAGCCAGCACCGCGGCCGGACACCTTTGTCTCTCCAGTGTCGATGCTTACACAATGCAACGAGTACTAATTTAAGGCTAAGTCAACCTTGGGGAGGCACAGTGCAGGTTTGGACATCACTCGCCACTCATGCAAGCCACGGGTGGGAATTGAACACACGTTCATAGGGGCCGTCCATAAATGACGTCACGCGGTTTTTGACGATTTTTGACCGCACCCCCTCCTCTCGTCACACGGCGTCACAAAAAGTCAGACCCCCTCAAATATGACGTCACAAAGCTCTGCCCCCCCCCCCCCTCAAAACCATATTTCCATTTTGAAAATAAAACCTGCTTCAAATCGCTTTAAACTATTGTCATTGTAGTGCGTATTCACTGTGGCGCTGCACTCTGATGTTGTAGGAGTGTTGTTATAACAATTCTATATTTATTTAAAGTTGCGCATTTTGATGTGACGTCACATTTCTCAACCCCCCGCCTCGTCACACATCGTCACAAATGTCTGACCCCCCCCCCCCTAGGTGCGTGACGTCATTTATGGACGGCCCCATAGTGAAGTGCGCGCACCACTGCACCGCCACTCCGCGCAAACGCACTTTGAATCGTACAAATCTACACCGGTACGTGCAACATATCACATACCCACCCACACATACCCACACAAACCGCACAGCACGTGCACACCAATCACCACATTCCCATGTAATGCATGAATGCACGCGATTTGCATATTTACACACACACACACTGTATATGCATAAGCTGACAATCTACTTGTCAGTACTTCTCTCTCAATTTAGATACGATCGTAGCTATTCTGGCAAGGGTCAAACGTTATGTTTTAATTACTCGGTTATTACCCAGTGACCCAAGCCCTAACGTCACCGGATAAGGGGCCCTCACATGAATTTGGAAACTCACAACTCCACGTTAGTACAAAGCTGTGAACCCTACTGAGGCTGGCTTACCGATACAAACCTCAGAAACATATGTTTGGAGAAAGATCGGCAGTTTAATTTAACAATTAAACATGATGCTACGCACCAGTTGTGCGTGGGTGTTAGCGAGCAGCTGACACGCATCCATTTGTGCGTTTGCGCGCGTGTTGCGTTTCCACGCAACCGCATTTCTTCGCGTGGTCAAAACCCCCTGAATAGACTGGCATCCCAGCTCACAGCACATACATTGATAACTGGTGTGCGGTCACTGGAGCTGTCGTGAAGTGTCGAGTGAGCGCGTGGTGGAGACTCCACATTCCCGCGGGCCGATGGAGAATAACCCACTGACAGTCCATGGGCCAGAGCAGCTGTCCAGTATCACTCGAGGTGGCACGACTTTTGCGGTGGTAAGTAAAGCAATTTTAAGGACCAATTAAAAAAATAATGATCACGTGATAACTTATTTGGTTACTACCCTATAGCCATATTGACCCGCTCATGATTATTAATGAGGGGGTGGGGTGCACATGAGTGACGTCATCAGCTTATGATTATTGATTAGGGGGGTGCCCCATGTGGAGTGACGTCACCCGCTAATGATTAATGAGGAGGGGGGGGTCTCACGTCATCCGCTCATGATTATGAATGACGGGGGGGAGGGCCTCATGTGGAGTGACGTCACGTGCGGGACACACACACATTCTTGGCTCATTATATTAGTAATTATTCACTGTGCTGGTGCAATCGGGGGTTTCAGCACCGGTTCAGATATCAGTGCCACTGACACGAGTCGTCGCTGCCTGGACTAGCAGTCAATCAGGTCGCCGAGTTCATGACGCGGCATGCCAACCACTGCACCAACCGCTCCACCTCATCGAGTGTTGATGTCATCTCGATTTGAAGCTTTCGTGACTGCAGGAATCCATACTCTTTGGTTCTTTCGGTGATGATGATTGCTTGTGTTGCAATCGAAACGTCGTGATTTATTTTACCTTTATACCTACGTGACTTTACCGAAAGAACCAAAGAACGTTGATGTCACCATTGGATCCTCATTTGCCAGTAAAACATATGATAATTGTTTTTTTACCCTTCCATCTGGCAACAAAACTGACACCTTTTTTACAAGGAGTCATGTTTGCATAGACCACAATACCTGCAGTCATAATGGACCAGATGACGCCAAAAGGCGCCATCTGGTCCAATCCATGTGAGACTAGGCTCTAAGGAAAGCTGTCTCGGGTGTGGACCAATCAACTTCAAGGACAGTGCACATTATCAGAGTTATGTTTTTTGTTTGCATTATGACTGCAGGTATTGTGGTCTATGCAAACATGACTCCTTGTAAAAAAAGGTGTCAGTTTTGTTGCCAGATGGAAGGGTAAAAAACCAATTATCAACGTTGATGTCATGTTAACTTCGCGTGGGGTCCCGGGGTGGTGTAGGTGAACGTGCTCGCACCGAGCCAGCCCTTGTTCTCGCGACTGTAGCAGACGTCGCGCTCGGCACTGGGCAGCACGAAGCCGACCACGAACATCTCAACTCCGTCCGCCATGAGCGCCAGGCCCAGCGAAAAGAAGAGGCCCCATTGGAAGCGGCCGTGGCCGCACTCCTGCAGGATGACCTCGTACTGCTGCGCCAGCTCCTCCTGCTCGCTCACGCGCTCCGCCTCGCCCTCCAAGCCCGTCTTCCGCACATCCTGCTAACACAAAGAAGGCAAAGGTCTTTTTTCTAGATTTGAAGCTTTCGTGACTGCAAGGATTCATATTCTTAGGTTTTTTCCGGTAAAGTCACGTAGATAAAAAAAATTTAAATTAATAAAAGTAAAATAAAATAAAAATCACGACGTTTCGGAGGCAACACAAGCTTCCGTCTTCAGGTGGAACCGTCACAGCCACGACAGCTGTATCAAGTAAATGAGAGATTACAAGAGCTACCACTCCGTATATATAATGGTTGAAGAGGGGAAGGGCCAAGTACGGCACACTTTTTATTAATATGGTCTTCTTCTTACCGCCCCCCCCCCCCCCAGCGTAGCCTTAACAGACTGCTGGGGAAAGTGCTGTTGGCGAGCACGTGTGTATGTTGAACTTTGTTGAACTTTTGTCGGGAAGAAACTATGGGAGGCCGGAATGGCACACGAGGGGGTGGGTGGCTAGCACCACGCCCACCCACACCAGGTACTCATTTGAGGCTGAGTCGGCTCTTTGGAATTCGGTACTGATAGAGAAATTCAACCCGACAATTTTGTTATCACATTTGATAGACGGACACGCACAAATAACTTCCACGTGTGCCTAAAGAGCGCCGCATGTACAGAACGGTTAGTGCTTTTTTTTCCATTTTATTGAGCCAACTCTGTGGTTCCAATGAAAAGACGGTGCTGATCATGGCAAAATAATAAAAACAATTGGAAATGCCACATACTCTATCCTCCCCATCACGCACTTCATGGGTGCGTGACATGCAACGCACGAACAACACATCCTGTGATGTGTTGAGATTTAAAAGGGAAATTCTGGACCTTTGGCATCAACGATGATTCACGGTTGTCGTGAGCCACTATTGCTGCCCCATCTATGCAAGTCAACTTTGCACGGTGCCCAGACGATACAAACTGCGTGGAAAATACGTCCGTTGGCGTTGTTTGTATTGCCATTTCAATTTGGTTACACTTTGCACAATAGTGTCTCATATTCGTATGTGTGTATGTAGGTATGCACACCGCATGTTGTATGTATTTTGAACTTATTTCGCACTGTACGTAGCCAACCGTGCTAATCGGAGGTGCGGGGGAAGGACACCAAACTAAACACAAAAAGTGGTTTTAAAGAAATGAGTTTTCCATGTAGATTTAAAGGTGCATAGCCCCAGTGGCCTCCAAATATCGGAAGGAGGAGCGTTCCAGACGGCCACAAAAGCGCATCCGAAAGCGCGTGATGCAGCGAGACTGTCTTTGCATGTCGTGTGTACGTGTGGTGTGATGTGACCACGTGTGTACATGTGGTGTGATGTGATGTCGCGTGTATGTGTGATGCGATGTGACCACGTGTGTACGTGTGGTGTGATGTGACCTCGTGTGTACGTGTGGTGTGGTGTGATGTCGTGTGTATGTGTGATGCGATGTCACGACGTGTGTATGTGTGGTGTGATGAGTGTATGTGTGGTGTGATGTGACCACGTGTGTACGTGTGGTGCGATGTCACGACGTGTGTACGTGTGGTGTGATGAGTGTATGTGTGATGCGATATGACCACGTGCGTCTTTGTGGCTTACGTTCTCCCACGCCGTGGCGTGGCCCGATTTCCCCCCGGCGGGGACCCCCTGGTACTCGCCCTCGTAGACCTCGTCCTCCTCGTCGTGCCCCTCCGTGGCCTCGCTCGAGCCCTCGCTCTCCCCGGCGCGGCCCGTGGGGGACCCCGCGGCTCCGCGTCCCACCCCGGCGTCACCGGCCTCCTCGTCGTCGTCGTCCTCGTCGCCGAAGCGCGAGTAGGAGCGCCGCGTGTGCTCATCCTGCACGCGGTCCGTGCCGCGCGTCGCCTGCTTCTTCACGTGGCGGGCGATCTCACGCGCGCCCCACGCCAGCGAGCCCTGCTGCTTGTCCGGGTCCTGCATGGCCCCTGACGCCGTCGCTGCTTCTGCTGAAAGTTTCGCACACGCGACGCAAGAAAAAACAAATGCGGCTGAAATTCACTCGAGATCTTCAACCCCCCCCCCCCCCACCGTGCGAGGCGACGTGGACACTGCTGATGACTTTGAATGGAAACGCGAGCAAGCGAGCGAGCGAGCGAGCGCCTTCAAAGCCGTTTTCATACAAAGCTCTCGTTAACATTCTAACTGTTGAATTTGGAATGCTTTGGTGGAGCTCACGTAATGATTTTTTTACGTGGTAAAACACATTGATGTTTTTTGTTCAATGGACTGCAAGGTAGGTTGGTGCTTTATCAATATTCGTTGACAGTATTGGCATTTAGATGATATCGAAGTCACCACGTTCCACCTTCCAGTTATATGCTGGCATTGCACGCGCTGCCTGCGTGCTAGCGTGCGTTGGCTTCCCTCCGTTAATGTTTAGTCAAGTTGGCTCAAGAGAAAAATGTAAATTATGTCATGATTGTCATTCATGTAATCTCCAATATGTTTAGAACACTCGCCTGCATCTTTATACACTACATATCGGCGGCCTGCGGCTGCTACTTGGCGCTTTGCCCCTCGCCCATCGCCTGTTTGACCCCACTGATGTCCTCTTCACCCCCACCCCCCCCACAATGTGTTCAGATACTACGGGCTATTGGATGTAGGGTGTGTAGAAATATATGCCTACAAAATAGAACCTGTTAGATCAACTTTTTACTCCCACATCTTGGGGCAGGGGGGGGGGGGGTCCACTGATGTTAGCCACGGCTGGGAATCACAAACTAAGGTCGCCAAGTTCCTAGCACAGTGCGCTAACTACGGCACCACCGTTCCTGATCAATGCACGCATCACACTGAAAACACTCTCTACATGCACACATGTACATACGCATCAATACGTATACACACATATGCAGTGCATAGATATAATACAGAAAGTAATGGAAGCAATTCCTAATGGACTATAAATAGTTTCAGCATTGTTCTCGCCAAAACCTCTTTCTATCGGGCAACTGCTCCCGCCCATTTGATACAGTAATTAATGATCCATCCAGTGAAACTGGTTCTCGCGACAACAATAGCCACTTGTCTTCCAAAGGATTCCAATTGTCTGCCCTGAATGCGTGTACTGCAAAGAACTGGCAATCTGCCCGCGACTTGCAGGGCTTTTATTAAACCATCGCTACAACACGGCCAATGCCAGGCACCCCGTTTGTCCGGCAAATATATCCGGCGTTATTCTTAAGCGACGGCGTTTGTCTCGCGTGCACGTGGCACAATCGAAGAGCTCGTGCCCTCCCGTGATATTGTAACCGGCAACATTCGCATCGGTTGTGGGTTCAGGGGCGTTAATTGCGTTGGTTGTTGGGCTTGTTGAGTGGTCGTCCCACTGAGCGTGGATTGATGCCCATTATGTAACGACCGCTTTCGCTGCAGCACTGTGCAGCAGATAATGGGGGTTTGCCCTTCCGTGGCTATGGAGACGAAGCTCAACCCTTGCGTTCGTGGGCTGTCGTGTGCCCACGTCGAGGTCACATCGCTCTGAACGTCAGTGCACCGAACGACGTTCCCCATGGAGGTAACGGGGCTGATCTGCGAATGAGTCTCGTTGTACTGCAGCTCCTTTGACAAGAGCTCAAAGGTGACGCCCAGAACCGGTTCAAATAATCGCCACTGGTGATACGCCACTTCGTTGAGCCAATTGCACAGTGGGCTTTACCTAGTGATTTGCTTCGCACTCCAATTGTTCTTCTGTATCCTTTGTTCATGTAATTTTCCACCCCCCCCCCCTTACTGGACATCTGTGAAAAAGAGCGTCATAGTTCATAGGATTTGTCCAGGATGAATCAAGATTCTGAGCGTGATTTGAAGTCGTATAATCGGCTTCATAGGGTGGCGCGCGTGCGCGAACCACTACACCATCTAAATGTGCCACCACTCCCCACACGAATGTAAGAAACCCCCCATCAATCCTTGCACACGTGATGCAATATATGAGCTTAAGAATCAGGTGTATTAATTGTCGTAACGACGCATTGACACGGCTGCAATGCCTTTGCAGGAGTTATTTTTTAAATGGAATCACTCTCAATCAGTCCCAAAATGACACCACATTTTGTCATGAAATAAGGAAATTGTTTAAATGAACGTGGTTTCATGCAGTCGCACATTTAAAAAAGATATAAACACAGTCTTTTGAATAGCTTACCGACCTCTTTTTTTTGCTAGTATTAACACGACCCACATTATTCTCATGCACAGACACTCACTGCTTGCAGATCGGCTTCGATGGGACTGCATTCACATGGGACTGAGCACAGATCTCACAGAAGAAACGCATCAACCCCGAGTTTGCAGCAAGCAGTGCGTTCCCTTTTCATGTTCCCTTTTCAGACAGCTTTTTTCCTACTGTATGCATTAAAAATGTAATGGGCCTGCTGCTGGCGTTGAGTGTAGTGGGGAGGAGGAGGGGTAGAGAAAGTGGTGCTGGCATTGCCCCTCGGGTTCCTGGAATATTCCCCAATGCGCCGCCTCAACGCCACTTTAAGCCGCACTTTATCTCCATCCCAGTGTGAAATGATACATTACTGCATTAAAGGGGGCCTCTGCTAATCCGCCAATTACGCTGCACGCATATCCGCGCCATTGTGTTCGCGGGTCGCTTCGCTCGAGACAAGCGAACTCATTTCTGCGAATCGATGGTCGCCAAAATTGTTTCAAACGCGTTGTTGTTGTTTTTATTTAAACTGCGGGGTAAGCCACGAGTGTCGTTGTTGTTGTTGTCGTTGTTGGGAGAACGGCGTACGCTGGATTACGACGACGCTTTCGTGCCGCCAGCTGCAGATTACGAGGTTTATTAAACTGGCCGGCTCTGACAGGAAATTAATAAACGCGTGGCGTTCCTGAGTGAAATGAGCTTACAGATGGGGGCAGCGGGGGGGGGGCTCAGACGTAAATGTTTATTGCATTGCTATAACCCAGTGGTTCTTAACCTTTACTGCAGACTGGCGTCCCTTTGGTCCTCAATCGTTTAAAACAAAGTATGATATAAAAAAATACATGGGGTTTGATGAAACAAAGTAAGTTGTACTTACGTGCCCGTGTTTAATTTGTGTTTTCTATTATTTATTTTCTAAAAAAAATCTGTCCATGTCTCGCACCCCCAGAAAGGGCATCTCGCACCCCCAGGCTAAGAAGCACTGTGTAGACTTAATAATGACGGTCTCCCCAATAGCTTTTTTACGTTCGCGAAATATATCACAAATGGAAGGTATATTTACTAAATTAGAAAAAAATGAAATTGCCTCAGCCACACGCTGATTAAATATTTATGGAAAAATAGCGTTCATATTTTAGGCAATTACTTATGCCGAAATCCGTTGACCTTTTTTTTGCAACAATGGCATTGCCCCAAAACATTGCTCCTAAAATCATTTTGTCAAACAACCCTTAGCGTGTAATGTTTGTTTGAAATTGACGGTTGGAGTGCGTTTTGCATAATGAACTCCATCCGTACGATTACAGTGATTTCGTGAAATAAAAATTTGTCTGCGTGCGTGTGCGTTAGTGAATGTGCGTGTGGGGAGCGGTAGTGTAGCAGTTAGCACGCTGCGCGACGAAACACGTCAACCTGAATTTGAGTCCCGCTTGTGACCATCAACACCGGTCCTGGGCTTCCTCTAGGTCGACTCAGTCTCAACTGAATACCTGGTGCAGTTTGTAAACATCGAAACTAACTTGGGAAACAAAGGCGGCCGGCCGTGGTGCTGGCTGCCCACTCCCTCGTGCGTCGTGCCGGCCTTCAGAGGTGCTCGCTTACAACACTTGATCCAAAAGTATTTTAAGGCTACGCGGGGGATCTTCATCTTCGTTATCACATTCACACGTCGATTTGCTGAACACGGTTTGGGTTAGTTTAGTTAATATAATGTCGTCGAGGGTGGAGTGGTGGCGCAGTGGTTAGTGAACTGCACTATGAATTCGGCGATCTGAGTTCAGTTCATTGCCACGGCTAACGTCAGTGGTGAGTGATATCTTGAACCGCTCTTGCCCTGTACCTCCTCGCCCTCCTACATCAACTCATGCGGACCGGCATGGTGGCGTTCATGTGACCCCCAGGACCAACGCAGCGTGGGGAGGCCTTCACCGGGCGATGAACTGTTATTGTTTTAAGTAAAGTTATCGTCGTACGGACTCGTACGTTTACAGGGTACGGAGTTGTCGTGTTTGGCGCACTGCCGTGCCATTATTAGCAATTGTCAATGCTTTATCAACCCATTATTAACGCCGGCGTGGTGGCCTTTATAAAAAAAACCAGCGGTGCACGCTTATTCCCATGATTATGAACCCGGATAACGTCCGTCATGTTGTAAAAGTGATGATGAAAATAAAACAGGTCAGCATTCCTCCAACACCAGCAACATTGGGGTTTGCTACTCTCCAAAGCTGCCCCGGAATCAATGATGTGTAGACTCGCTTTTACGGGTTATGCTGCGACTAATACTGACGTTATTCACCCATATTGTACTATAAGAATGATTATGTCTAGGCCAGGGGTCGGCAACCAAAATAACAAAAAGAGCCATTTCTTTCCAATTCGGTACAAAATGCAGTATTTCAAGAGCCGCAATGCATCTGAGTACATACTGTACATATCGTCAAGAAGCAGCCCGTAAAGAGCCGCATGCGGCTCCGGAGCCGTAGGTTGCCGACCCCTGGTCTAGGCCATACCTTGTACTGTAATGGTAGTGCCTTATACCGACAACCCCGACTCTTAGCCAGCCTAGCTGCTAAATGTCGAGTAAGAACTTAAGCGCTGCGTATCTCACGTCCCGATTTCAAAGTGTCCATTTGGAAACTCTCGACAGATCACCATCGCGTGTTGGAGGACTCCTCGAGCGTGATCCGGATGGGATTTGGAACACACGCAAAAAAGTGCCTTTGATCTGTGCACGGACGCGGATTCCCAAAAGATGATCCTTGCATCGCCCCTCTTAAACCCGCC